CACAAATAATCCAATCGATTTTGGTCTTCCCTGAATGTTGTCGCCATACACATGTAGTATTCAATACCAATATTTACTATATATTTCTTTTTAGTTTCTTAAATTCAATTGGAAAAATAAATGCAGAAATTTTTCTGCATTTATTTTTCCAATTGAATGCTGTGGGCACTATATATAATAACCAACTAATCAATTTTCCTTAAACTTAGCGTTGATAAATTTATTTTTTCAATAAATCTAAGAGTTTCGACCTTTAGTCAGAAAAGGCTGTTGACTGAATATTTTTTTTTTTACAATTCCTAAGATGTTTCTGTGGGATTAAATTTTAATTAATCCTAAATTTGGATAATAAAGTGTTAAATCTGTCTAAAATCCTAAACTAACTACTCATGGGGGCTGGAGTTGTATTGTATCTAAGCTTAACTGTTGATGACAGTCCTCTGCAAGACCATTTAAGCAACAGGTTTTTATATGATTAATATTCGGGTTCATACAAAAATATGAATGAATCCATGCAGATTATACATCTTTAATATCCGACGGTATAATTTTTCATTATACTAAAATCTCTATATTTGAAAACAGAGCGACAGCACTGAAACTGCGAATAAGCTTAAAAAGAACTGCAATCTTACAAAATCTCTTAATCTTGGCATAGCCCAACAAGAAATAATTTACAAAATTACAAAATTTTATGATTCTTTTCTACTGATTTTCATGAAATATCATAGAAATTCTGAAATGATTGTGTAGTTTCTCTGTAACTTCCTGGTTCATTTAACTTCTGTATACGTGGAGCGGTATTGTTAGTTTATCCTCTTTTGATTTCTGTATTCGAAGCAATTTAAGGAAACGTTCTTTTACTGTCTTTTTAGACTACAAGGACTGTTAGCCTCAAAAAATAATTTCATGTTGTTTCATTTTTCATTCTAGTCTCTTGTCATTAGACAAAATGTCTTTCAGATTTAATCTGTTTCTTATCGATTAACAAAACTAAGTTACTTAAAAGCAAAAGATACAGTACTTAAAAATATTAGTTTTTACTTTTCAATCTGATTGATTTAAATAAATTCATTTAATTTTAATATCTATTAAAAGCATTAAATATATTTAAATTCCTACTATTAGCTCACACTCTCCCTATACGTTGTTCAAATTTTCAATCATTAATAAAATACTTTTTATTCATCCACTCAAGTTCAAACATTTTTAAACTCTAGTGAGCACTAAATGTTAAATTTTTTTTATTTTTTTAATTATAATTTTATATTTTTAACTCTATCTTTAAAGTAGGAATTGGCTTAATTTTTTTAAATTTTATATTACTTTTTATACAAATACATAACAGAATATATGCAAACGTTCTCATGTTAGTCTTAAAGTATATTCACCTAGTATTATGTAAAATGTTCACTCTTCACTGGGCCATCTCTATTGATTATTTCCTCTGGTGAACAAATATTAAATTTTAAAAATGCCCTTTTGTGCAGCCATTAAAGTGTGAATAGTTTTCGATATTTTTCTAGGTGTTTTTAATACACGTTTTTGCAAAATTAAGAGAATATGCACATTATGTTGAATATCTGAAAAGTAATGAACTATTGTATTATATCATAACTGTTGTATTAGAAATTAGCACAACAGAGTGAATGAGTATGCTTCATATTAATATTTTGATAATTTTCAATTTTTAAGAAATTTGAACAAAATATTTACTATTTGAATGGTGGTTTTTTTGCAGAAGTTATTAATAGCATTATTACAATTGTTTACATTTCTGAAAAGCCTTTGAACTAAAATAAAAGCAAAAAAAGCGTTACGAGAATGATAAAGCTAGCGTACAAAGGGAGTGATGAAGCTTCTCGACTTATTCCTCCCCGACTTGTTTATAACATAGCTACATTAATTTATATTATATTATAAAACTTCTATCTTCAACACACTTCATAATATAAAACTTGCTGCAGGCATATTTATCAACGATACATTATAAGGCTTCTGAATGGATCAATGTTTTACACAGAAATCTAAAATTTACTCAGCTAAATCATTTTTAAGCTTTCAACTACGGTAATGTAAACAAAGAAACTTTCTATGTAGGAATAAAACTAAAGAGGAAATATCTTTATTGCTTTTGCTGTCTTTCTGCGAAACTGGTATATTTATTTACGGCTGCCATCAAAGCGTCGAAAATATTTCTAAGAATAAATCGAAGCATGGCAATGAAAGAAAACTAGTGAAACAAAATAATTTGAGCAAACGATTGTCGGAGATTGTAGTGCCATCTGTATTATTTCTTCCGCAACCTAAGCAAACAATTGTTTGTTACAAATGCCGAGTCATATCTTGTTAATGTCAGGAAGTAAACTGCACAAAAAGGGAAGATTTAGGAAAGACAACGTTTGAGTTTCTAAAAATTTTTCGAACACGATATACGATTAGTATTTTTCGGAGGATGGAAATGTAATGTCTATTGTTTATACATTGCAAAACATTTGTATTTTATGCATAACAAGTTTGCGAAGAAAAATCATAATAACTTCCATTGAAGGTTTATTAGGATTTTTCTTTGCATTTCGTGTTAAAATGCAATTTTAAAAACACCCCTAGAATCTTCGTAATTATTTTGTAGCCAAGAAACATAAATAACGCTAAAAGTACATTTTATTAATTATGCTGTAACTGTATAATTATTCTGTATAAAAAAATAAATCCTTTGTGTAGCCACCCAGATGCGTTAGTGGTTAGTGACGCTGACTGCCTTTCCAATGGGTTCGGGCTCAAATCTCGGAGAATGCATGGATGTTTTTAAACGTATAACGTCTGTACAGCATGAGGCACTCAACATATACAGCGAGACGAAAGTCCTCTCTAGTGTTTTAATGGTAGGGGAAGAGGCGGGGAAGATTCCTCGGACGCGTCTCCCACGATGTTCTTTAAAACTGGGTAAATCTTACTGTACAGTGCTCAAGGCTTTTGAGGAGGCAATCTTGCACTCTTTGCCACGATAAAATTCGTGCGCTTTTTCTAATTAGGTCAGACAAGTGAGAACTGACACAACAACAGCAATCTTCACAAATTCTAACAATCTTCACGATCCATACTTTGTGGCAGATGCGAAAACTAATTTATTTTCTGCCTTGTATTTTCTTAGGAAAATTTTAGAAGTATCTTTTTGCACCTGGTTACACTTTGAATGCAGTGTCTCTTAGCGGCTGAAGCATAATATAAATGCTGAAATTGTTATTAATAACGAATGATGGTTTGTCCTTCACATCAATGCTGAACAACAAATGCAAAAGACATTTTAAATCAGAAAAACCTTAATAAAAACTAAAAATTCTTTTGGAATCTGCAAAATAGAGTCATATAAACAAAACTATCGAATTTAAAATTTTAAAATCTCATTGAATTATCTTCTTTTCATAAAGAACATCAGTAAGTATTAGCGATATTCAAATGTCATCGTAAATGGTTTGCATGCTCATCAAGAAAATAAGAGATAATTTAGTTTTTTAAGTTTTATATTCCCTTGTAATTTTTTATAGATATATTCCTTTGTAAGTTATGGGGAATTTTATGGCAGCCTGCTGATTCCGTTTCAGATCGGAACTTCAGCTCTCACTCAAATTAGTTAAGACTTTTGTAATAAAAAGCTGTTTGACAAAGATATCACTGAATTCTAAGATCATATTAAATTATTGTGCACTACATATGAGATGCTCCAATGCCTATCACGGACTTTTAAAATTGTATACAATAGACCAGCTAACTATATGTGCAAGCCATCAACGTTTGATCACTTATAATGAATGAACAGTTTTATGTACCTCTAAACTCTTTGTGACATTTTATTTCTAACATTTCAAATGTCATCGATTGAAAGAATTCCTCTACTGCATTTCCAAATTGATCGATGCCCGTGTAGCAGCAACCAGCAATCTATCTTTATAGTATTCTACTGTGAGCTGTTCAAGATCATAAGGTTTCACTTCTTTAAAAGTTGTAACATACTGGACTATGCGACACGTAACAATTAGCCGAGGTTTGCTAAAACGCTTTCTTGCTGAGCTGGCCCTTCAGACGGTTAAATGAGATAGGTCAATCAGCTGAAAATCTTACTTGCTTTATCTAAAGTGTTGCCCCTAGCGTATAGCTTAGCCAATAAATATATCTGAAAACACTCTCTCGCTGATACAAACAAAAAATTCGTCTGTTGGTCTCGAATTGTGTGAATTATTAATGACCTCATCCCAAGCATAATTTCATTTCGTCTGAATTGATATTTTGGCAGATTTTGCTTAAATCTTGTCAGCAGCGTTAAACATAATATTTGCAGATAATTCTGAAATGTAGGTACTTTTCATACAGGCAATACATTAGACCAGTAATTATAAGTGTTTTATTACGTTTAATTACGTCGTTTCATCTTTATGTGTCACGTTTACAGTTAGCATCACTGTTGCAGGTTTCGACATAATCATCGTATGAAAGCTTGTATTTAAAACAGCAGATTCAATATTTGAGTCAATTAATGTGTCAGTAATACCCAAACTGTGTGCTGATTTGTTAAATTCAATAATATGATCGCTAGAGAACTAAACTTCGTAATCAGCCACTAATGCTCCTAGCAATCACAAGAAAGATTGAGGAAGAAAGTGGTCAAAATTACGAAAACTAACTCGCTTCTATAAATCTTTCAAGATCAACCGCCTCTTTTCATTAAACTGATATCTGTATCAAAGAGGAATGTATTTATAAAAACACAAAAAAGCTCTGAAATTTCGGTGCTTGTTCCCATCTTCAAATTATCGACTAAAATCACTTCTTTGCTCAGAAATTCAAAACTGCTACAAACTGATTGAACATAGTTTTAATTATAAAATATACTGAGCACTCTAAAGGAAACAGTTGTCATTCAAGTCATTCACTGTTTTGAAGGTCTTTGCTTTGTAGAGTCATTGGGTTATTTGGAAGCAAGGGACACAGAAAATGTGCAATGCCCTTGCTGGGACTCGAACCTAGACCTCTCGAGTAGGCGTCGAGTGTGCTACCGCTACACCACGAGAGCATGCAGAAAAGAAGGAAAAAATGCCTTATATAGTCCCCCTTTTAAAAGGCGACTGGTGATTAGGGGACCCAATCGCCAAATCCTGATCGTGAAGAAGCATCATCCATCTCTTAGTTCAGGCACCACTGTTGAATCATTAGGATTTTTGAAAGAGGGACATGAAAAATGAGCAATGCCTTCCACGGGACGACCTCTCGAATACGCGCCGAGTGTGTTACCTTTACACCACGGAGAGAAGAAAAGAAAGAAAGGAAAGGGGGATACGAAAGAGGGAGAAAATACCTTATAGCTTCTGCTAAGAAAAGATATTGCAATTAGAACCCCGTATACCCAAACTAATTGATATAACACTAATGTTAGCTCTAATATAACTCCAATTTGTTTGAGTAAACAGACTTTAAGTAACCTGATTAATTAACTGCCTCCGATAATCCGTGGAACTTATTTTGACAAACAAGAATAGAAACAAACATATACCACATAGCTAACCAAAAGCATGTATCACTATTCATTTGCATTTTTTTCTTTATTAAAACAATGAGCCATGTTTTCAATTGCTTTCTCATAAACCTTCTCCGAAGTTACTACACACTACAGTTCGAAAAACAATTACTGTAAAACTCTTCTCCAAATGAAAGACATTTCATAGCTAATTTTGCTTACAGAATTCGAATATTGCGTTTTACTGATTTTGGAAGTTTACTGTTATCCCTAAAGAATGAAGCTGCGAACAAAGTTAGCGTTAGTTCTTAGCTTTTAATGTTATTTCCTTAAACTGTATCAATTAATCAGGATTAGCATAGCTAATCAATTAATCAGTCTAAAATCATTATCTGAAAAGGCAAAAGCAATAAGTATTTTACACTGTGTAATTTAAGCCTTTATAGTGTTATGCTAAACACTGTGCATGAAATGGACAAATTTATAATGAATACAGAAAAATACATGTGAAGAAATGATAACAAAGGCAAATTCATTTTTTCAGGCATTTTGTAAATTCATTTCTTTACTTATACAATTAGTTTGCATACTTCGCAGTATATTTCATTTGCAGTTGTTTTGGATGGTAATACAGATAGAATGCTACTATTGGCAAAGTAATGTTTCTACTTTGTACAAGCAAAAGAAACGTAATGGCTTTGTTTTGTTTCTGGTGTAGGACTGTATGTATTACAGGAACACCTAATTGCATTTTTTCTGCAGGAATACCGGCGTTTGTAGCTGCTGCATGGGCTATAGTGAAAGGTGCTGCTGGTGGAGCTTCTGACGAACCGTTGGCCCAGAGAGGGTAAGTACCAAGATTTTCATGCATTCCTTTTTTTTTTTTTTTTTTCTTAATTAGAAATATTTTTCCATAAGACCTTCTCCTTTGAATGAAACAGTTATGTTACTGATCTGTAGCTGATCGTAAGGAGATGTTGATTGGAAAAATATCTTCGAATTCCGAGCACGAAAGTACGGGGTATTTTGAAATTTAACTCACATTATAATGAAGGTTATATTTATTAACTACTGTGCTCTGTTGAAGGCTACAAGAAAAGTTAAACCTCATATTTTTTTAGCCCTATCCACAGTATTTAAATCATTTTCGTAAAATTCTCTACTTAATTTTTAGAGAATTATAACTTTAATTATACGTCGAGGTGTGGAACAGTGTTATAGAATAAAATATAGGCTTAGTACACATAAAGCGCGGATAACACAGAAACATGATATAAATAGCATTTCTGCTATGTTAACAGTCAATTATAAAACTGAAATGCCACTATTCAACATAAAGATTAAGACTTATCGAAATGGTGATGATAGGGAAGAATAAAGTGTTTGCCGCTATTATGGTGTTTATTTAATTCTTCAATATCTGGCAGAAAACAATTCATCCTCTAGTTAATTTCAATTAAATATTTTACGTTTAAAGACCTAGTTTTAAAGTTTCATTGTTAAAGGTAAAACATAAAAGACATAGAAAGATTTCTCTAACCTTGACTCGCCACATCAGTCTTAAAAATCATTAAAGAAGATTTCACTCGCCCAGTGTAGCGTCATGGAATTTTAAAAGCAATTTTCTTTTAATTTTTATTAAAAGAAGTATGTCTAGCCATAACAGCGTCGCTTCATCATTCATTTTGGAAAAAAAGAAAGTACAGTCAAGGAGATCGAGAGATGACAAACCGTTACTCTGGCTCCCAGACGCTCTCTTAAGGTTTTAATTTCATCAAACGAATACAAATTTCAAGGGGCTGATTACAATTCTGGTTAAATCCTCTTAACAAAATATTAGGTTCGATCTTACAATTAGTAACTTAGTTGCGGAATAGTTTTATCTATCTATTTCTGCTGTTTTCCATTCCTGAATTCCCTGTACGAGGTCTCTGTGTTCTTGTTGGACGCGGTTTCCACTCTTTGAACTAGTTGATTGCTTGGGTGAGCTACGTAAAGAACGCTCCTGAACTCTCTACTAGAAACACCTATGATGCTCTCGACTAGAGAGAACTTCGTTAGCAGACTCGTCACACTACGAGGACTATAATTCATTTAAACATATTTTAAGAACTGTGAATGGCAACGACGTACTAGTATACGCCTAAGAGAAGAGACTTCTGGTCGGACGCCGGTCAGAGAGAGAGAGAGTTTGGGAAGCTCCGCCAGCGAGCTGAGGTGTGGAAACTTAATTTGTGCAGTGATGACGAGTGCCATCTCGTCAACGTCTCTGATCGTGTCACCAGCTCGGATATCTACTAAAGTTTTCTAAATGTATTAATTAAATGTTGTATCTGTGATTAGTGCTGTGAATAAAAAGGGATGAATCACTACTACCAGTGTTAATTCCGTTACCACTGAAGCATCCACGACGTCACAGACGAAAAATAAAATTTGGAGGTTCCACCGAGATTTGTGTGACAAGAGATCAGGTATGTGTTCTCCACAATATTCATTTCCAGGCCTGAAAAGTATAACGTAGTTATTTATTACTTATTCAGGAAATCAATTCCCAAAGCAAAAGTAGCACGTCAGTGCATACTAGTTTAAACACTCAATGTGTTTGGTTGATATATCTAACAAGATATTTTCCTTTTGTGGTATATTCTGGAAAACATTTTCCCATTAATACGTAGCACATCAGTGCATTTTATAGCCCGTCAGTGCATAAAAGTTTTTTAAAACAATCAAAGTGTTGCATTTGTATACTTCACGAAATATTTTGCTTTTATATGATAATGAGAAAAATCCATTCACGTAAATAAATAGCAATCAGTGTATTTATGTTAACGTTTCGCTATAAATTGGTGTGATGAATCTGAACTGTATATTTTTGTATATGTGAAAGCACATCAGTGCAATATTGCAATTTCTTTCTAAGTCATTAGAAGAAAATTATGTAAATTTGTGAAAGAATAAGTTGTTGAATATATTAAAAACTTTACTTTGATTTTCTCATGGAAAGCACACCAGTGCTGTATTTTAATTGATGTATTTTCTGATAAGTCGAATGTTAAATTTTATCATTTCATTATATAAAAATTAAAGCTTTGGGCAGTAAAGAAATGTTCTAATAGTGTTCTGATTTAAACCTGCGCCTATCGATTTGCGTTGGCCATTTGGTTGCCAATGGCAGTAGCTGTCATGAAAACGATAGTTAATTAAAGGTGTTTATATTTATAGGCGCCACTCTGGTTTTTATCTGTCTGGCTGTACTGGATGAAAAGAATTTATTATTAATTTTTTATGCGAAATATCCAGTAAGGATGTTCATTCATTTTTTGTTTTAATGGAAATAAATTAAAAATGATTAATGCTTTATGTTCATTTGTCTAATTTTGTAAGAAAGAAGAAAAGTTAGTGTTTTTATATCTCTGATATATTTTTATGTGTATTATTTGTGAATAACTATTTGAGTTCTTATTTGTTTGAACAATTACTTTTGTGAAAAGATTTTGGGAAAAGCTAAGAAAAGATATCTATTCTTGCGAGACAGAACTTGGGGAAATAGTTAGAAGATATGAAAGTGTAGATTAAACAATTAATAATAGTAAAAATTTGAGGAAGAATTTGTTAAAAATTTGTTAGAAATATTATGACTGATAAGATAGGAAAGGAAAAAAGAGATGCAACAAGATCGAAAGAATTACAGTTAGAACAGGAATAGGGAGAGGGAATTTCAGATACTACAACAAAATAAAGAAATTGAAAAGCAACAGTTAGAACTAGAAGCCTAAAGCAAAACAGAAAACTGATCTGCTAACCGGAGGTGAAACGATTTAATCGAATTTTCAGAAACTTATGCCCAAGTTAATTTAAAACTGATGATATTTTATTCTTAGAACTTTTTGAGAGGCAAGCTAAAGTTTTAAATTGCCCACGGATCAATGGGTCCATATCTCATTGGTGTCTTTCCGGTTGAGGTAAATAATATAATTGCTAGGGAGCACGAAGAAAAGGCTAGAGATTACCAACATATTAAAGAATATACTTAAACGATTAAGTTAAGTGCGGAGAAGTTTCGGCAACTTTTTTTAAGACTAAAAAAAATCCGGATCTCGTGGTACGATTTTATCACGAAATTAAGACATTTCTAGATGGGTGGCTTAAGAGATAAAAAGCGAAACATTTGACCAACTCAAGGATTTAATGTTGGTAGATCAGGATTAAAAGGCGCACGCCTAATGAGTTAATTTTATATATGAATGGGCGATCACTTCACCCAACAGTTGGTGGGTAAAATAGAGGAATTTGAACATGCGAAAAAGACAATGGTTGGAGAAACAAAATTGGGTGAACTGAAAACGAAAACATCAGGTAGACAAATGGGAGTTTTTCAGTCCACTGGTAACGTTTTCAAAAATAGGAAAACCCCTAAAGGCACACAATTCAAAAAAGATGATGATGCACGCAATGCTGGGAAAAAATCGAACTCGAATTTTGATAGGAGAAAAAGACTCCAGTGTGATGAATGTGGATCTTTTGACCATTTACGTCCTCAATGTCCTAATTTTAAAACTCAAAAGGCAGATTTGTATGGGATAAGCGGGAAAACAAAGAAGAATCTGGTACATCCCTATACATTAAATGGAAGAGTAAATGATTTTGAAGGACCTATTCTAAGAGATACGGGAACAACGGTAGATATTATTTGTCAGAAATATGTAGACATAGATAGAATGAAGGGGGAACACATGTGGGTTCGACATTTGCTGGATGATCATATGGCTTGTTTGCCTATTGAATGCGATTTGGGTACAGTAACCACCAAAGCAGCTGTTATAGGAGACCACTTAGACCAAGGACGATATATACACTGACTAAGTATTTGGACACCTGTGACAGAAAAGAAAAACTAACTTTGTTCAAAATCAATAGTTGGTAGAGCCTCCATGAGAGGTAATTAAAGCGTGGACCCTCCGGGGCATACTTTCCACAAGTCTTTTTATGACAGCTAGTGGTATTTTCTTCCACTCGGCTTGGAGAAGAATAGAAGTTCCTTCACCGATTTTGCACGGGTAGTGCACCCCTGAATTTGGCGATGCAAAGTCCAGAGGTTCTTGATAGGGTTCAGGTTTGGACTCTGGGCAGGCTAGTCCATTCGATGAATTCCATTGGCCCCATACCAAGCCTTGGTTAACGTCGAAACATGACACTGGCATTGTCTCCTGAAAGTAACAGGGGTCCAACCCGTAAACTGCCACAAAGTAGGAAGCACATTGTCATCCAAAACGTGCAGAGGCATCGGAATTGAGCTTACATAATGGGGACCAAGGATCCCAGCCCATACCAGGAGAAACAACCCCAGACCATATTTCACCTCCGCCGAATTGACTATTGACACAATGCATTATGGCAGGAGACGTTCTCTGGTAGACGCCAGACCCAGACTTGCCATCCGAAGGTAAAGGGTGAACCTTGATTCGTAACTCCAAAGAACCGTTCCACTGATCTCTACTCGAACTCGATGTGCTTTGCCCACATTAACCGAGCAGCGCTATTGGACTTGTTCAAAGGCTTATGGGCAGCAGCACGACATGAAAACCAAGCAATGTGCTTCCTTACGGTTGGTATCATGAAACATACTCCCGGATGCCTGTTGAAACTCCTCGCGGATGAGGGCCATTGGTTGTGTGCGGTTCTTCCGAATTTCTCTGGACAGCACTCGTCGGTCTCTATCTTCCAGTTTCGTTGGTCTGCCGACGGGGCACATTCCAACAATCACCGCTCCTTCCACCTCTTAACCACATAGGCCACTGTCGATTTTGGGTATTCAGATCGCTAGATATGTCCCTTAAGGATCGGCCA